GTGTGTGTGTGTGCGTACACTTGGTACAACTGATGACTGAGGAAAAACACTGAAGCGGTCCTCAACAAACTGTGTGTGTGTGTGTGTGTGTACCGTAAATGCACAGTTTTACAATATTCCTGATCGAGCAAAATAGTGTGGTAAAAGTACATCATGCTACACATCACATTTTCACAAACAAACAAACAACCTGCTACATTATTAATACAATCTCATGCACTGTCTCTCAGACTCGCAAACACACACGGCGAGAATAAAGGATGTTTGCATATACAGCACAACTCAATAAAAGGACTACACACAAAATTCTGTTTGCTTTACACATATACGCAAAGAGTTTGACACGTACAGTATTTCAACAGAAACAAAAGAATATTCACACAGCTATTATTATAATGTATCCTTCACCACAAACCACTGCAGCTTTGTGCACACACATAATAACCTCAACTGTATGTATTTGCATTTCCTGTAGTACAAAAAACTAGGTGGGTTTTTAAATGCATGAAGCAACAGAAACACGGGCCTGCTCAATTCTAACCAGTAAGACATCTTTAAGAAAATTGATTTACATTGATATAAATAAAGCTCTGCATTTACAGGCACAAAGACGTCTGGTACGTCATCACCCTGTAATTGCAGGCTCGCTATCACCATCGCCAATCGAGCAGATTGACTTCTGTCAAGTTTGCGGCATTTGCAAAGCAAAATCAACAGTTATGTCAGAGAGGTTCAGTTTACAAGACACGGCTGGTAGCAATTACTTGCATATTTTGCTCCAAGTACATATGATCTTACCCTTCAAACAACTGGCCACGCTACTACCACTAAACTTAACTAATGAGCTCTGTTCCTAAGGTTTACTGAACCGGGGTGCAACGTAGGCACGATGGAGGAGCAGGTAATCGCTCGTCAATCACTCTATAACGTTCAAAATCTTTCTGAATGTGGATAATCATACAAACACTTTCCACCCTCACACATAAAGCAGTTAAATCTTAAGACCACAACATATGGGTAGCATTCTGAGGCAACACACACAGTCACTTCCTCCAACACTGATGACTAAGAGTAGCTTTTCATGAGACTTCTCAGAGCAGCTCTGCATAAACGCCATTTTATCAGCACTCATTTAGTCTCAGCAAACTCCTGCACCCAATCTAGCAAAAGGCAATAACGCTAATCTACTAAACCGCCACAAGCTGGTCGAGCTTGAAACTTTTTTCTTTCGAATGATGCATGTAGTTTTGCGTTAAATTCTTTTTAAAATTAAAACAAAAATGCATTAAAAAAAACATATACACATACACACAATAATGCGCGCGCACACAGAAATTATCTCAGATACACATAGAAATTAATTAAAATATATATAATAATATACTATGTATATAATAAAAAATTAAGTCTCATTTGGTAAACACAAGACCGAAAAGAGATCTATTAATTAAGAATAATTACTCACGATTCGAGCAGATCAAAATAATAAATAAGAATAATCACATAATAAAATATATGATGAATAATCAAATATTTTAAAAATGCAATATAAGGGATATGATCCCACCTCTAATTGCTAAATGTTACTGAAGCATGCAGACATGTAATTTAAGTATCTCCTTTTGTCAAATTATTTTGTTCATATAATCCTAGTTAATGAGGAAATTAAAGTTATTAACCATACTACTGAGGGATTAATGGTGAAAAAACAAATGACTAAAATGAATGCACCCTACCTCTGCTGTTCATCAGGTTACAAAAACATCATGGCTGACTCCTGGCCTTGGCATCAGCTCTGTTGAAGCGGCTCGATTTGACCCAGCGCCGCAACGGTCCGTCCAGCAGTAGCCAACGGTTCGGCTACTGGCCCTCTGTACTCCACACAATAATGGGAAGCAGAAACCAGGTGTCAGGCACAAACTAGTATCCCACCATTTCTTTATCAGGTCCACGTAACTCCATGCAGGTCCGTGAACATCAGAGCAAAACCTTTTGTTTAAGAAGCTCTTAAACTCCTCGTAGCATCAGCTACCTTTGGTCCAGGGCTGTTGCTCTCCTTATGCTTAGCAGCTGGGCAATACGGCTTTGAGTTTGATCAAGTGTGTTGTAGATCCGTGTAAGAAGTGCTATGCAGGCTGCCCTTCTTTCTGTCCAGTCTTTTTTTTTTTTTTCCTTTTTTGGTTCTGGTTTAGGTCCTCAGTCACGGTTGTCAGAGTCCACCATCACTTTAACAACCTGGAAAAAGGACAGAAGGACAAATAACGTTAGAAACTCACACATTCTGCAACATTTACTGGAACCTATTTGAGCCAGACTTCCAACATTTTGTCCATATTTTACGTATACGGGAAACAATTTTGTCCAGACTTGAGACATCCAAATTGACTGGCTGATCAAAGGTGCACAGTGAGCAAAAAAAAGTTGGTGCTGTGCCGAGACCCCAGCCAGTCAAACTCTGTAATAGTACCAATTTTGTTTTATCACCATAGTTGACAGCTGACAACGCCTTTCACATGTGAAGATTGTTATTAAAGGCCCCAGGAATTAAGCTAAGCCACTGATATTGTAAAATGTCACAAGATATGTGTGCCAGTGACAAGGGAAAGCATCAACCAGCTTTTCTCAAATAATGAAATATAAAAAAAACCTTTGTGTTCTTCTTTCAATTTCTTCTGTGCAATTAACAAAAAGAATGTGATTGAAAATGTGTGCAGTGAGGAAGGACACACTCAAATACGTCTTTACAACAAGCTTGTACACTATCCTGTATGTGTGTGGAAGGGAGAGGGGCATTACGCAAGTTGGTGTAGTCTAATGACAGCTATCTATAAAACAAACACACTGGTGGTAACATACTCAGTCAGCTAAAAATACTTAAAAGCGTTCAGTACAGTGTGCTGCCAATAAATTGGCGACAAAAAAAGCCACTAATAATATTATACGGAATTAACTCAAATTAGAAAACAATTACAGCCTGTGGTACAAATCACTGGCACCAGCATACGACTTCTCTCTCTCTTTTCCTCTATGTTTCAACAATTATTATTCACTCCATTTCAATATTGATCGCATTATGAATCAGAACAAGGCAGTCGTCAATGAGTAATTTCCAGGAATGAAAAAATAAATTCATTGTCGCATATTAACTTTCCAGTGGCTGTGACCGCTGACAATTGTATTTTCTTTATTCGGTAATTCTAGTGTTAAATGTCAGACTCTCCCGTTTTCAGTTCCCCCTTTTGTTGCCCCAACCACAAAAATCACCCCACCCTCTCTGTCTGTACCACTCCTCTCTCTCTTTCTCTCTGTGCCACCCCTTCTTCTTCTTTCCATCCGTCTTGCCTCTTTCTCCCTCTCACCGCAAATCTAAATCTGAGTCTGTATTTATACAAAGCCAGTTTCCTTGGGTCAGTCTGAGAAGTGTGCGTGTGTGTGTGTGCGTGTGCGTGTGCGCGTGCGTGCGTGCGTGCGTATCAATGGTGGATAAGAAACAAGTCCGAATTCTTCACACATTTTGGAACTTGTTTGTTGGCTGCTTATAAAGCCACTGCTCTATCTGATGTGCATATTAAACCACCTTTCTTCAGACACAACAGAACTATTAATTTTATGTAAGTTAGTGCCCTTGGAGCTTATATGCAAAGCGAATAAACAAGACAGCGAAGGAGCTGGAATGAATGCAAAAGGAAGGGCTTTCATATCGTAGGATACCTGTTCAGTGGTTTACCTGGTTCAGTGTGGTCCTGACCACATCCACATGCAGTTCTAACTTTGTTTGGACTAAAGATAGGAAATTAACACACCAGCCATTTGAGAGCTGGAGTGTGTCATTATCTGAAAAGGGATATCTGCTGCTTGAAAAGAAAAAAGAAAGGATTGCTGGCATAAAAAGTCAAGCACATTATGAGTCAATACTGAAATCATGAGTCATTTTAAAAGACCCTCCCATCTTAAAACAGTAATGTTGTTGAAGATATAAACATGTTTTTGAAATAAAGTGATTTGTATGTTCCAGGTAGACATTTGAGATGAGACTTATCATACTGGATGTCCCCAGCTAACCTTAAAGTGTCCTCAATGAGAACATATTTCGCTGCTTTGAATATGTATATACACATATATATATACATACATACATACATACAGTAAAGAGATCGATGACCAATACGAGGTTTCTTCGGCTGTAAAACTGTGAATTACCTGTTAGGCACAACAGCACAACATGCTTGTGCCGCTTCCGGTTATTACATGATTGACCACATAATAGCATTAGCTATTAGAGCTGAAAGAAAAGTAGGAACGTTTACTTCGAGAACGAAAGAAAGCAAAAGAATAACTGGAGGGCAACTTACTCATTAGTAGTACTCACAGCGGGAAAAGAAAAGGGAGAGAAAAGTTTTCTTTTTCTTAAAGAGTGAGTGTGACTCTAAATATTTTCCCTGTGGAACTCTGACTCAGTTGCTGCTTACTCATTTACTCGATCACTGTCTTTCCCTGCCCCTCTGTTTTGCTCCTTATCCTCTTATTTTTCTCTTTATTTCTACGCCATGACCTATCTCGTTTTCTCAGTCCCCGGCTCTCACTTTTAAACCTCCCATTTCCACATCTCACGTCCATCAACTTTTAACTCTCCATCTCACTTTTCCTCCCTCTCTCCCCTCCATCACTCTTTCCCATCAATCTATCACTGAGCTCTCTGTCATTTTCATATGCTTCTTCTGTCTGTTTTTCCAACTGTCATTGTGGCTGAGATCCCCCCCCCCCC